GTGTGTGTGTGTGTGTGTGTGTGTGTGTGTGTGTGTGTGTGTGTGTGTGTGTGTGTGTGTGTGAGTGAAATTCCTTATTACACTAAATCAGAGTGAAAAATGCGGCCGACCCTAATCAAAGCCAGAAGATTGAAGGCCTATGTCATCCTCAAATCGAGTGAGGTCGATGCAGGCCCAAGGAAATCCGGAGTAGAGATGTCAGAATATACGAATCAGCGAGAGAAGAGCAGAATGAGCAAATCCGGTAATCTAGGGTCGGTCGCGTCATGCCAACCAATATAGACGATCAGAGTGCATGAGAGTTCCCAGCCATTGTTCCCCATTGTTGCCATTGTTCCCATTGTCCCCATTGTTCCCATTGTTCCCATGATTCCCATTGTTCTCAGTGTTCCCACTGTTCCCATTGTTCCCCATTCAGAGTATCTCAGAAGATCCTTCCCATCATGTTCAGAGCCCCTCCAAAGCAAACTGATCCCAGCAATAGACATCCCAAACGAAGTGCCCAGCTGCCACAAACTCTGTATGAAGATACAGGCTGCTGATAACTCCCACAGAAATCTCGTAACTCTCACGATGAACAGTCTCTTGAGAGAGAGGAGAGAGTGCTCGTCACGACCCGATGTATGGCCCTGAGGAAGTGGGCCAAAAAGTGTCTGCCTCTCGTGGCCAAGAAGTGCCAAGTCCATCCGATCGGCCTGTCATAAGCTGCTATAGAACTGTCAGCAACGTAACGCGCGTAACGCTGCCTCTCGTACGCGAAGCGCGGACAGTGGAATAGGATGTGTGCTCTATCGCAGATGTCATAGTCGCACCATGGGCACGACTGAGCACGGGTAAGGCCGAGCTTATGTAGGTAACGAGGGCATGGATAGTGTCCTGATAGGAACTGGGCTGCCAAGGCTGACTCGTGTCTAGTGAGGTCACGAGTCCAGATGATCGAAGGTGTGAAGTAGGGGGGGGAAAGGTCAAGATCGTGGTCCGGGTGCGCGATGTTCCATTGAGTGTTGATGTTGGAGATGTAATGGTGCCTAATAAAGGTTTTTAGGCACTCAGCAGAGTAGGGAACATCGATCATTGAGGGAAGCAGCGAGTTAGTATCGTCCACTTGGTCCCGTCCCAATGCATGAGAGGTGCAAAGGGACATCGCTGCCTGGCGAGCCGCTCTATCTGCAGCATCATTCTCCGAGAGCTCAATATGACCTGGGGACCACCAAAGGCGGATCTCTCGTGTCCTGGAGTATAGGATAGAGAGTGCCTCTTGGGTGGTGATGCTGAGTTCAGAGGGATTTTGGATGTCTTGCAGGCTTGTAAGGGCGGCTTGCGAATCAGAAACGATAGTAATGCGGGAGGGAGGGTTGGGTGCAGGGACGTGTTGGCAACCCTCGCGAATGGCGATGAGCTCGGCCTGGGTGCTGGAGTGCAATCCAGTAAAGCACACAGAGTGGGAGTTGGTAAGGGGGCCGTTGCCGGAGAAAAAGAGGACGGCGGCTCCACATTTGTAGCGGATGGGGTGATCACGTATGACAGAACCATCGGTGAAGATCCACAGATCGGTGGCGTCCGATGTCTGTCTCGCATGTCGAATGTAATCAGCTGCGTGATCACGTGGGAATATGGTTGGTTGGGGAATCCACTGGGTCGAGGCGGGGTCGACCGTCCACCAGCGCTTGGTTTCCACCCTCTGGAGACTGGTCACTGTGAGCTGGGACCGGCGGGAGAGGAATCACAACTCCGATTGAAGAATGTCAAGGGGAGCAGGTGTACGATTCAGTCCCATAGGGGAAGGGGTGGCCGACAGCAGATCTCTAGAGTGAGAGAGCTGTCTAAGGTAGAACTCAACCAGTCTCTGACGTATGTATGTTTCTGCCGGTCGGAGGCCCGCGGTGATGAGTGCCGCATCTGTGGGTACAGTGCGGAGAAGACCCATACTGGCTTTTGCGCAGTGCCGTAACACGCGCGTGAGTGGAGAAAGGGAGGATGTGGAATGGACCACTGTGCACCATGTGGATGCAGCGTAGAAAAGGACGGGTAATATGGTGGCGTCGATCATCTGGCGCGCGATGATAGGGTGGAATCCCCATGTGGTTCTGAGGCCCCATTGCAGCATCCTTAGGCGTTTGAGCGCCTTTTCAATGACTTTCAGGATGTGTGTCTTCCATGAGAGAGTGGGGTCTAACCACAGTGTGTGTGTGTGTGTGCGTGTGTGTGGTCTTGTGTCCCGTAGGCGGGGTGCACACGTGATCCGCTTCGATCACATTGGACCCACCCAATCAATGGATTGCTGTTTGAGGCGCCACGGGGAACAGCTAATTTCGTTCCCCCCTGTCACGCCAGAGACATACTCCCACTTTTGGGACCAAGCGTCTGTGGCGTTGATCCAACATTGCGTTGGCACGCGCCCACCTGGGAGGGCCTTGGGGGCCAAATGATAGAGTTTGCAGCCACAGGGGAACTTTTGGGTGCTAGGAAACCTGCTTTTCATGGTTGGCATTCTGATGTGGCCAAGCAGGCCCAACAACCGCAGGGCCTGCTGCGCAGGCATGCAGGCAAAACGCCTGGGCGCACACATGTAGATGTACTTCGACTGATGTGGCTGCACTAGGCTTTGGGAAATCCAGTCTGACAAGTGGTTAGAATATGAGGACCACAACCGGCTTAAGTGCAAGCCGTCCAAATGAACTTGCTCCCCGCGCCCACTAAGTTACAAGAGCCCAGGAGCAAGGACAAAACCGGTGGTGGATCACACCATATTAATCCAAGCCAGTGCTATGCGGTTCTAACAGAGCACAGTCCTATTGGACAAATGCACAAAATCCAGATCATCGCTCAAGCTAATAGGTGCGTCGATATCCAGCAGAGCGTGAATGCACAATTCTCATGATGCACATCCAAAAAGGGCCCAATGGAGCGAAGTTGCCGGTGCTGACCATATTCCTTGCCGCAGCGCTGACCGCACATGAGCTGCCGTTGCACTGCATCTGGCTTTGCAATCATCACTCCAGCCACACCATCCCATGTCTGGCCCCTCATGAGCAGCATGCTTCCAATGGGTATCTGGGGGCCCAGTAGCAGCCCACTCCCCTGATCTCCCATCCGAGGCACCTTCAAAGAGATGGATGTACGTTTTACAACAATAAAGATGGCGTAGTCCACGAAACGGAGCGCAAACGTGTGCTTTCCGAGCCAGACTGACCAAGCCAGTCCAGTCGCATGTGCACATGCGACAGGCAGAAAGGACTTGTCATCTGCCCATTCGCAACACCCGTTTGGCAACTCAACTTGGCAACACCAAGACGAGCCCTCTGCCACTGTCAGTCACATCAGTGACACCGCCGCGTGCGCCACAATAGAGTCAAAACAAACATTGCATGGCTTAGCCCCTCGCAGTAGGGGCCTCCCATTCTCCATCCCTGACCGTTGCATTCTGGCATGATCCGCATTTGTTCCCCACGGCGGCAACGCCTTGTGCATGTCCCTCCAAGCAAACCCAGCAATTCCAATCGCTCCCCCGCCAGCCTAGTTGCCTGCAGCCCGTCATCCTCAACTGGACGCCCTCAAAGCTATACGCCATGCAGCAATTCACCAACCAAAGAGCACAAAAGACCAATGTTTTAATAACAATCCAAATCGGCAACCTCTTCACCCGGTAATCAATCCTTCGACCAATTGTCCCTTGGAAAAAATAGCCCCCTCAGTCATTAATCCTCATCAATCGCAAATGAATGAACAAAAACTCAGTGTTCCCTTGGACCCTGGGTACTGAAGAATACACCTTGCGACCCCAATAATCCCTGGGTTGTCTCCTATCCACCGGGCTACAACCTGATACACAAAATCTTGGCACCCACACTGACACTTCACAAAGACATCCGCCACTATGGCCCTCGCACTCCAAACTACGCCTCGAAACAGGACGACTCACGTGCCACTGCACGTCATTCACGAATTCTCTTCTCAGTTGATGGCAGCCCGGCTGCAGGTCATAGGGTTGACCTTCCAGCGTCCCTGGAAGCGCATTAACACTGACGACACAATGCGCTATCCACAAATACGGTCGAAATCTTCAAAGCTACAGGAAGCCGTAAAGACTCCATTGCGCGAGGGTGATGACCGCCTATCACAAATGCCACAAGAAGATGCCCCGATTCGCGCCATTCCCACCGACCTCACAAAAAGGGGCAGCGAAGGCCAGCACATGCCGATCACAGCATGGGCCAGACCACTCCTACTCCCCTCGAGGTGAAACAAGTACCTCCCAGCCCGCATCAAACAAAAGCTCGTATCCCACAGCTCAGCGCCCACCCCACCACCATCCCTCACCACATCTGCCATATGGACCCGCCAATTCACACAGAGCGGTGATTCCAGCAAAAAAAGAGCGCGCCCGCCCGGCACACATGCCTTCCATGTACTCATGTTTGTTCTTGAGCCCTGCAGCACACAACGAGCCAGGACTATGAATCCCATTCGTTGAACGGGCCGCGCCGCAGCCCCCATGGGTACCCAATCGCATGGAACCTTTCACGAATGCAGAATGAATGCATCGGGGAGGGGTCCATCGGCGGACGGCCTCTCCATCTGGGTCTCGTCTGACTGGCTGCTATCTGATGACGACCTCAGCACTTCAGCATCCACCATGTTGCCATTGTAGGACATGCTGGGTGTCATTGTGCTGGCATCGAACATGCCATACTTCATCCCAGGTGCAGCCCTTGCACCATGCACAGGTCGGTAACCTGTGATGCAACCCCAGCACCCCAGTTAGTTTGCTCTCAACTGCCTCGCGTAGATCAGTGTGCACATTCAAAGTGCTGCATAAAATTGTCAGGACTGCACTGGTCAAAAATGTCCTTGAATGAGCAACATCCCCATTTCCCTACAGCGTCAATGCCATGTGCACTTTTAGAGATTGACATACCTAGACATCGATGCACAACATTGACAAGAGCAATCTTCCCTCTTCCCTCTTAGGCACACCACAATGTGCTGAGTACAATCCCTGGCTTTGGGAGGTTGTCCAGTTGGACGTTCTCAGGAACCACAGTGACCCAAATCAAAGGTCAGAAGTAAAACAGAATCCAAAACAGAAAGCAACAGCTGTCAGGATGAAAGTGGTCCACACCTGTCAGCAGGGCACTGTCGACGGAAACTCGTCTTACACCACTCAAGCCCATTGAGATGGCCTCCGACACTGCTACCGCCCCAAGGGCGTCAATCGATGGGCCCCGTGTGTGCATGCCTGGCCCATAGGGATTCATCATTGTATCGACGGAGACACGCCCCAGGGGGGCCTTCAGCGGCTCGTGTTCTGGTATCATCTCCTGGCTCGCCATCGCATGCCCTGCATCGCCCGGCAGCTGCACCGTGCCATTGCTGGCAAACCCCAGGTTCATTCCAGCAGACATTGGGAGGCCATGGTTGTCGATGGACACCCTGGGAAATGCAGGCCTGTGGGTGCCAGAAGCGATGCTGTCCATGCTGTGCCTATCCACAGGCTGCCCGCCATTGGCGTGCGCTATCTCGCCGAGGAGCATGATGAGCAGTTGCACGATGCGGTCGTTCTGGGGGAGCTGCTGGGAGCCCATGGACACAGTGAGCTGCTGCAGGAGACCTGCCACGTCGTTCATGCTCATGTTGGAGCCAGTGGCCTGGCTGAGGCTGCTGAGGGCGGCGGGCACGTTGTGGGGCAGCTGCGGCACACCAGCCAGAGGGACAGATACCTGCCAGAATCAAAAGAATGTGTCATAAAGAAACAGGCCTGGCAGAAAGCCCAAAGGCACGCCCGGCTCAACCAGCTCCCAGCCAACTTCCGCATTGACAATGGCCCGCACCCATGCAATGGTGCCTTGGTGCAGGGCGCCACTGCACGTTTTGCAAACCGACCAACAGCTCAAAACTGGAATAGCTTAGAAGGCCACAGCACAAACCAAGAATCACACAAACACCCCTGTCAGCCAGGGCATGGCCCAACCCACAAACATGTTGTGCAGCTGAGCACAGATAGCCTTGGCTCAAGCATGACCGGCAGAGAAACCATTCACAGCTTTCAGAACGAATGAAAGGATGGCGGCCCTGTGAAAGCTGCTGACCAACGGCCCACGAGCCGACCTGGACGTGCTCTGCGGGTGGCTGCGGCGACATCGGGATCTCCATCGACCGCCGTGTATTCCTCGAGGCGCCCATCCCTGCCATGGTGGTGCTTGCACTGCTGTCCAAGGACAGTCTGGCGGCCTTGGCGCCAGCTTCCTTGGGGATCGACTCCAGCGGGTTGGAGGGCTCCCTGAGCTCCTCCAGGGCGTGGGCGAAGAAGCAGACCTTGCGCCTGCAGGACGCTGGCTCGTTGCATAACTGGGTGCGGTACCTTTTGGGGGCAGCGTTCGCAGCAATCGAAAGTCAAAGAATGGACAGCGAAAGAGTGGTGGAGGAGGCCCAGGCGATGGGGCATGCCCAGCCACCAAACTGATCGCAACGCTCCTTCCCCCAGAAGAGGACCAGAGTGCGTTGCTCTGTGGCGGCACGGGCGCCTAACAGAGGGACCCCGCACCGCACGCCGCAGCAGGGCAGGGACAGCAAGGCGCAGTCATAAAAGAGGATGTCAGAGAAATGCTTGGCGCGTGTGCCGAACAGAGGTAAACTCTCCGCGCCGCATGGCGCCGCAGGACGGAAAAGGGGCGGACGCGTGCGGCCTGGTGCCGGCGACTGGTGCGAATCCTGGCCCCGCCGAGATTGCAGCGCGACGTGTCGTGAGGGGTCGGGCCGGCCGACCCGACGCCAGCGGGACACCCACCTGGTGGGATGCAGCCAGCACTCGAATATGTTGTGGGCGAAGGGGCAGAGGTCCCCGCGCGGGCACTTCAGTCCCTGCGACAGGCCACACAGTCCAGCCCCACACACAGTCAAACCCCACACGCAAGAGAAAGCAAAAAGGAGGCGAAAATCCGCGCCGAGCGCCGCGCGCGCCGCGTGGGGGACGCGACCAACCGGGGTTCGCCCAGTGGGCGGAGCCCAATCGTCGCTGCCACTCAATCCTGTCTCACACTCGCGGCCTTCGTATTCCGCCCCGCCAAAGCTCGCGGAAGGCCGGGTACGGGAGGCGCATGTTCCGGCGCCTACCTCCTGCCAGTTAATTTTGATTCCGTACTCGCAGCCCGCGCGAGGAGGCGGCGGACCGCACGGCCACGATCGCCGCCCCCCGGTCGGCGCACCGGGCCCTCCCAGCCGCGGCCCTCCGCCTCTCGCGCCCGTCATCTTCCCCGCCACACTGCGGAAGCCACGCCGCGCGTACCGGCAGGCGTGCAAAAGCGAGCCGCCGCCCAATTCGCCCAGGGCCCCATCCTGCGACCAATTTAGACGCCCTCGAGTCCGGGTTGCCCTGCGCCGACTGCCGCCCGACCAGCCAGCCCCCGCATGTGCCGGCCACCCAGCGGGTCCCACATGATGCGAAATGAGCAGCGCAAAACCATCTATGATCCCTGTCCCCACTCACGCGCCCCCGGCCCGCGCCTGCGCGTTCCCCGGCCCCGCCGCTCACCTCCTTCACGTGTGGGCACTCCACCCCGGCATACCGGAACACGCGCGGGTCCCGGCGCCTGGCCTTCTCCCCCGGGTGCGCAAAGGGGCACACCGTCCAGTCGTGGCTGTAGTGCTTGGAGCACGGCAGCACCTGCGGCAGGAACCCAGCCCCCTCCCGCCGTCAGCAACCTCGTCAAGCACCCGACACCCGCCGCACGGGCTCCCAGCCAGTCCCCACAACCTGTCCAGACGCCTGCCATTCCGCCCATCTTCCCACTTCAAGCCCCGTTCCCTGCACATCGCGCCTCATATCTTTCCGCCAAACCCGCCGTCTCAGATCCAGGGCTCGATGCGGGGCCGCGCCGCCCTCGCCGCCCCGCGCACCTTGAAACAGTACATTCTGAACTCATCGGAAGCGTAGAGAACGTCCAGCCCCGCCGCGGCCTCCCTGTCCTTCGCCGCCTTGGTCATGGCCTGCTGCATGGTGCGCGCCAGCACTGCGCCCTCCCCTCGCGCCTGCCGCCTCTCCGGTGGGCGACCCGATCAGCGAACGGCAGGAGAGCGGAGCACGCCTGTCAACCCCTGATTGGATTCGTATCCCCTTGGCCACCACTGCATACTTGCGGATACCAGGATGACACACGTCACCCGCCCCAACCTCGCATTGCATATCTCTTGCCACGGCTGGGGCCTTTCCAGGGCGCCGCCTTCCGTGGCGTGGTTATTGGTGGAGCTCTGAGGTCGGGTCGTTGGCGGTTGCGCTGGAGTCCCTGGCATTATACAACCCCGCCATTGGCTCTGCTTCCCGCTGCCTCAACAGGCCGCCGTCGGCTTGCAAGGAGGCCTCGTTGCGCGGCTGTCAGTCAGATCTCCAGCGGGTGCCTGGGATTGGTGAGCAGTTTCGCGCTGAGATTTGCGGAGAGACGTTGTGGCTGCCATCCACGCACCCCCGCGGAGTGTGAGGGGCAGCAGGCCGTCTTCCCTGTCGCGCTGCTTGATTCGCCTGTCTGCCTGACCACATGCAGCCCCTGGTCCCAGTGGGTGTCCGGCCAATTCGTCTAAGAGCATCTTTGATGGGGTGCTGGTTTTCGAATCGCGCGTTGCCGCCGCCTTGGCGCCCGGATGGCCGGTAATGGCCCTCGCGGCCTCGATTGGCCGCGGCTTGACCGGGGCGCGCGCTCGTTGCACTCCGAGGTGGTGGGCCCAGATCCCTGGAAGATTGCTGGGCCCGCGGCGCGGGAGTCCGGGGTGCTGCGATCTCGGTCGCGCGGGTTGTGGTCTAATCCGCGCGATCCGGAGGGATCGACACAGGAATCGACTCGCAATAAAGGATTACTGATGTCACGACCGCATGACATTTGTGCGGCAGGGCGTACCGGAAGCTGACCAGAAATCACCCAAATAAAAGAGTGCCTCCTCAAGGCCCTAATCCCATCTACTAGGGCCTTTAATCGGGTTGCCCATTAACATAAATTAAGGCAATAATGTTCCCAATAAGAGGCCTCAGGGAACAGGGGGAAAAGTCAAGGGAGTAAAAGATCTCCCCATGTAATTCCGTCACAATCTTTATCGGTGGGTGCTATTGTCCCGGCGGAGCTGTTCGGCTATCCGTCGGATAGTATCCGAATAGCACCGCATGTCAAAACACCATCATTAAAAGCATCTTTATCGGTCGGTGCTATTGTTCCGGCGGAGCTATTCGGCTATCCGAATAGCTCCACACGTCAAAAAACCATCATTAACGGTTAGGGAGCAATAACTCCCCAATAGCTCCCCTGGAGCTATTCGGCGCCCAGCGGAGCTATTCGGGGCCAGAATAGCTCCGCTCGAGACCGAATAGCTCCCCAGAATAGCACCGGTGTTATTCACGCAGCACTTGGCGATGGCCGCTTGGAACAACGCGAGAGGGGCCTTGGGACAGCGGAGGGGCCTTGGGACAGCGGAGGGGCCTTGGGATAGCGGAGGGGCCTTAGGACAGCGGAGGGGCCTTGGGACAGCGGAGGGGCCTTGGGACAGCTGAACCATGGAAGGGAACGGCTTCGATGTGGATCTCGAAGGGTGGATCCAGGTGATCGTCAGTTGGGATCCACTTGTCGCCACACCCCATTCTCTTTGTTCGCCGAGTGTAGGTGGCTCACGGCTCAGGTCAACACTTGGTCAATGCTTGGCGACCGTCGTGGGTCGGTGAGCAGCAAGGGTGTTTGTGTTTGCTAGGACAGCAAGGTTGTGTGGGTTTGTATGGCTGAGGGCATGAGTTTCCTTGCAAATAGCACCCCCCGTTACGGATGCACACGGGGTGCTATTGCTCCCCAAGGCATCCACTGTTACGGATGCACGCCCGGTGCTATTGCTCCCCAATAGCACCGGCGCTATTTGGCAAATGCCACCTTAGTAAGGTGGCACGGCAGCCAATGAGAACCATCCCTGAATAGCTCCGCCGGAACAATAGCGCCGACCGATAAAGATGCTCTAACGGTTGGGGAGCAATAGCACCCCATGAGCTATTTGGCACCCAGCGGCACTATTTTAACCCCAAATAGCACCGCTCGGGGCCGAATAGCACCCTAGAATAGCACCGGTGCTATTCGCTGCACGGTTGCCTGATTAGTAATAATGACATTAAGGCAAATTTGACAAATTTATTGAGCTTCGCTCCTCCTGCAAACGGGCTCTTACAAAGTGCGTCACTTTACTGATGTGCAAAGTGCCTCAATGCAATCAGCTTGGACACTAACGATACAATTGTGCCTTAAACTGTACTCTTCTGTACCAGGCAGGTGACAGGTCACCAAAACAACGTAGAGATAACCAGAAAAACGACTCGTGATGGTCGCTTGACTGTCGCCAGCAATTCAGCACACTCAAAGCAACACTAAAACCGGTAGAACAATGATTCGCAAAGGTCGTCTGACTGTCGCAAGCAGGTCTTGACTGACCCACAGCCTGGCAAAGTGCAGAACGACCTGTTGCACATCAAAGCCTCACTGATTGCCACACCACAACGACATGCAAACTGTAAAGCGAATTGCATACGTCGTGCCAAGCGCCACGGTACCCATTCAGGGCAGCACCACTCGGTGGGTGTCCTTCGCTCGCTCGGCAAACCCATCAGACGGGCGCTTGGGTCAGAGGCTGCGCTCCGACGAGTCAGAAACCCGAGCGCCGAAGCGCTCTGGCGGTGGCACGCAATGCCGGCACCGCCTGGGGACGAGGTGCCTTGGTTGGCCGCCAAAGGTACCCCTTCTGGCCCGCTCGGCCTTGAGAAAACGGGTCTTACACCACCAGCCAGAAACAACAAAGGCAGCATCCCCAAACAGCAATAACCAACCTCTTGTACTTATCCTTGCCCACGTTGTTTGAGATACCACCCTATTTCAAAAAGAATATTGGAATATTCCACATCAGATCTCGTCACCCGTACTCCAAGTGTCCAGTACACCCTATTGGGGCACCCACAGACTGCACTGTGCCTCAGTGCCTCAGAACAGCCACCCACTGGCCACATGACACGGCAGGACATCCACCGTATCCATTGACGTCATGCCGTCACATTCCCAATGTTTGAAAAGAAGGCCTACTTCAAACAAGCCATAACTTTTCCAATAATCGTCTAAATGTGACGGCTAAGAGCTCATTGGAAAGCCACTTTCCTCAAGATTAATTAAATATTCATCCTAACATCAAACTGCATAGGTCAGGTTGTACAAAACACCAGAATGTGGCCAGAAACTGCCACATTGACTTGACCTTTTTGCGCATGCATACCACTCCAACCCATCCGCAACAAAGATAACCAGCTGAAATAGTAATAACCACTTTTTCTTTTTTTATCATGTTTTCTAGTATCCGATCAACAAAATTATATGATATTACTAATAATATGATAGCAACTATATATGTACAATCCAAAACACCCAAAAGCATTCAATACAACGTCCCAATCAGTATACAGAACTCCACCAGAACATCCTCAAAATCCATTTTTGTTTTGTTCACTTTTATTGAGCAGTTTTAGTCATCTTTTTAGTAATATTGTACATTCACAGGCGGTTCCAGTTCCAGCCATGAACCCACCCCCAAAACCGCTCTTCACGGTGCCTAGACACGAGTTCACAGTAGAGGTGGCCACCCGGATCCGTTAATAGCGGACAGAGGGTAATTTCCGTTAATTTTCCGTTAATTAACGGAAAATAACGAAAAAAGACAAAAATTAACCAAAAATTAACGGATTTTTAGATTTTTTTAGGATTTTTGGGTTTTATTCATACTTATAGTTTATGGAATTCGCTATTAGAGAGTATATTTGTATTTTATTTCAACCTATGCATACTAGATTTTCAACTAGCCGCAGTTGTTGTGATTTTTGGGGGGTTTTTTCGATTTTTTGGGATTTTTTTTATTTTTTCTGAATTTTTCTCCCTTTTTCTTTAACGGAATTTAACGGACAGCTGATAAAAATTAACGAACCGGACTTAACGGACCGGATGGCATCGTTGAGTGGCCACCTCTAGTTCACAGCGAGTCTCGTTCGCCCTGGCACGTTCCACCCTCTTTCTTTCCCTTTTCATACAGGTTTGGGTGAAGATTCCGTATAGAGAATTCCAGACTTTTCTCTCCATCCATCTTTTGTTCATCTCCTCCTCACTTTCGGGCTTAGGCATGCCATAGATTGATCTGATGGCATCGATCATCCTCCAAATAGCTGTCTGAACTTCAAAACCCGCTGTGTGTCCAACATGTTCAAGGCCCGCTCAAGGAAACGAACTTCCTCCATAATCGCGGCCACACGATTGCACCCTGCCTCCATCTATCGATTAGCCTGATCGAGGTGCATCTTCTCAAGGGCGAGCTCCCCAAGCTTCGCCTCGATGTCCGCCTTGGACGCAGCCCACACAAAACGCTTGCTCACCGGAACTAGCATGACACTCCCCATATGTACGTACTTGCTGCCGACCCAAGTCCGACTACATGGCTGTGAGTGCGACTCATGTGGCCATCGAAACACCATGTCAGATGTCACAGTCCAATCACTTGTTCGAAAAGCGACGCCATCTCAAACTGCCATGGTGGCCAATGGCGACGTTCGGCACTCCCTATCCCACACCCTAGACACCTAAACTATCTTCCTATTCGACCATCCGACCGACTTAAGGGTGTCGCAAAGCTTGGGGAGGCCGCTCGACCAGTTCTAGCCTCGTTCTATTCAACAACCAGAGGCGTATCTCCAGCCGTATCCGTTGCAATGCTCTTGCCATATTCAGCTCTCATTCTCTTGTTCGAAAGCCCACTATTGCATTTATAATGCAAGGCAGTATGCCATGGTGGGATGGCAAGCCAGGTGGAAGCTCGCACAACTCCTGTTGCTCCTTTAAGAGAGATTGCAACCTTGGTTTTTTGGCTCTGAAGATAGCCATGCTCTCCTTCCTCTCCTGATCATAATACTCATTGTTCACTTCTTCCTCAACCTCCTTCACCCTCACCTG